TGTGTCCTGCAGGACACACTACCATGTGTCTTGATATTGAGAACAGAAGTATATATATAATGTTTAACTAAGTCAGTTTCATTAAATATTAACTGTTTTCTCACAAAAACCTACCTAACTTTAATTTTATTTGTATGATTTGAGTTAAGTATTTATTTCTGTTCCATAAAGCTATTGAATTTCTTTATGCTACTTGAACTTTGTATTAAATGTGATATTTTACATACGTATTTTTGTCACCAGGGTATTCAGCAAATGGATAACAGTATAGCAGCTATTGCTGTAGCTTATGATTCAGTAGAAGACATACCAGAAAATGATCCATTTACTTTGGAATTTATCCTTACTCCAAAAAAAGTATGCAGCTTTATCAAGTTTTGTATGTTGATTAATGACAAATATTAATGCCAATACTTTTTGTTTTTCATAATATTTTCATTTGAAGTTTGTGTACAATATTAAAATATTAATACTATATTAGGAATTTTTTTTTATACATATATATATAATTCTGGATTTTTAAGTATATCTCTGATATCTGGAAATTGAGAGAAAAATTATAAGATTTCTGTATGTAAGACACAAAAATAATTCCTTCACAAAAATCTTTTGAAACTGTAAGATTGATTATTTTAACTATGAAATTGGATAATTTGGGCTGTTAAAACTATTTTGATATGACAAAAAGTATATTAGAATTATTTTAAAGTTAGAAAGTTGTTAAATTTATTCCTATCTTATTTGATAACTCCATTTACTATAACTCTTCAGGGTTAATTTGGTTTGTTTTTTGATGGACTGTAAATAATTTCCTTTTTAGTTGTGTTAAACCTACTAAACTCCTTTTCTATCTGCAGGTGGATTTCCTTGCTAGTAAGACAGAAGATGATCTAAACATTTCACACTTAAATAGTCTAAGTCAGAAAGAAAGACGAACTTCTTTAGCCAGTGATGTAGATGTTCCACCAGCCTTGCAGCATACAGCTCCCACAAATTCAGCAGTCTCAATGGCTCAAGCTCAACAGGAAAGCAAAGCTGACAAATATGCAGCTTTCTCTCAGATTGATTTCATACCAAGCATATTTGATGATTCTGACATTAATAAAATGAATCTTTCATCTAAAGAAACATCTCAACAAGATGGCTCTTTTGGAAAATTGGTTAATCAAGAAGACTCTAATAATGTTACAGGCACTTTTGTTATTGCTGATCCTCCTCCTAAACCTTTTAAGTCAACAGATCTGTCTTTTTTTGCAGAGCTTGATCCTCTTGGAAAAGATCGGCCTCTTGTTGAAAAGAAATACTTTTTTTATGAACTTAAGAATCCCCCAAAAAAGGTTCTTAAGGACTTAATTGGGGATAGCACTGATACATCACATGAAACAGTTTCATTTAACCCTGATTCACTGTCAGAAGGTCAAGTGAGTAGTATTTATGAAAGTCCTACTAAGCAATTAATTAGTTTGTCTGGGACCATGCCTTCATACTCCTCATCTTCCAATGTCTCCAGTTGTTCTCCAGTTGTCAGTAATCCTTTCAAATCTTGCATAAGTGATATGTCTTATCCTCTGAGAAGAATATCAAATCCTTTCATATGTGAATCACAAACACCACGTCCAAGGCTCCCTGCACGGTCATCTGAACCTAGTTTTAATATTTATTCCACTCCTTTTTCTAATGTTTCTCATCAAAACTGTGTAACTCCAACTTTGCCATTGCCCAGAAAAAACTCTTTACATTCCTTTAAGGACATTTCAGAAGACCATTGCAATTCATTGTCAAAAGACAATTCTAAACAAGATTCTTTAAGCAAGTCCAATTCCAATCATTTAGTAAGTCCACCAATACCAATTCCTAACAGAAGACCACCATTTTTAACTTGTAGTACATCTCCATATACATCATTTCCTGAAAATGACAGTCCATATGCAGAACCAAGGAAAAATAATCAGTTATTGTTTCAGTCTTCCAACAGTTTTGATTTGGGTACTCAGTTTACAAAAGAATATTCTGTAGGTGTCAGTCAAACAAGTGCAATTTCCAGACTAGGGCCTTCTGGACATGACAGTACTGTGGGAAATTCACTTACTAAACTGAAAGCTCAAAGTCTAGACAGTGCATATACATTACCAGATAAAAATCCTTTTGTAAGAAGTCAACCTAAAAGTTTTTGGCATGAAAATAATAATCATATAGACCCAACGAGAAAAAATAGAGATGAGTTGTTACTTGCCTCATCACCTTCACCCCAAACATTAGAAGGCTACCAGATAGATTTGTCTTCTTCTTTTGTGGCCAGTGGAAACACATCTGCACCTTGGAATATGGAAAAAAAATTCTTTTTTAATGAATTTGGTACTTCAAATGAAGGAACAAACATGTTATTTTCATCTTTAAGTCATTCTCAGTACCCTAGCTACACAAATGGCTCTCAAATTGATAAGACTGGCAAAGAATCAAGTAAAAATAAATCAGTATCTACTCCACTCAGCCCAAAAAACAACAGTTTTTTGAGAAAGTTTGATCCTTTTGCTGATAATTTCTGTCAAATGGATATGAACCAATTGGAAGAAGCTTCTGAAGACCAGGATTCTAAAGTACACAACTATGAATAGTGGCTCAGATATACATTCTAGTGGCTGGACCAGTCCAGAGGTTTGTGTAATCTTCACTTCTTGAAATTTCTACTTCTTCTCATTGAACTTCTTTATGATATCCAGTTTATGTATAACTTTAAGGATTTCTCTTTCTTTTCCTTCTGTTTTTTTGCAGATGCAATACAAATTCCCAACACTTCTGTAAGCTTTTGCTTTGTCAAGACTAAACTTTATGCATACATGCTGTGTTCATCTCTTGTTGTTGAACCCAGCTCTTTGTTTTTAATGTTTTCTGAACCATGCAATTTAGTTTGGAATAATACTATTTTTAAACTTAACTTTTAGCAATTCTTATAATTTCAACTTTTTTCCCTTTAACAAGTTTTAGTTTCTTTATTGTAGTATATAATTTCAAGAGGGAAGGAACAAGATTTCAAATTATATACAATCTGTTGTTTTATATAATCCATAATTAAATCAGGACTATTTTTTGTGCATTTCTTTACTTTTTCAGAACAGAAAAGTAATATGCTATTTATTGTGTGTATGATTTCATGCAACATGTATCTTCTTTGTTGTCCACTAAAGTAACATATACACCAGTATCATTTTCTATAGTTTGTACATTACTTGTTGACAAGTGAAGTAACATGTAAACCAGTATAGTTTCCTATAATTTGTAAGTTAGTTGTTGGCCAGTGAAGTAAAATAGAGATCAATATTGTGGCTTAGAGCTTGTGTACTAATTGTTAACAAGTGAAGCAATATGAAGATCATTATAATTTTCTGTAGTTTCTACATTACCCAGTGAAGGCCAGTATAGGTTGTTAGATCTTGTATGCTACTTTTTGCCCAGCTAAGTAACATACAGATTAATTTAGTTTTTGTGATTCGTGCAGTTGTTTATTAGTACAGTAACATATAGATCGTTATAATTTATAATATCTTCCACATTGTTTGTCACTTGTACAGTGATGTATAGACCAGAATAGTGTCCTATAATTTATACGTTACATGTTGACCAGTCAAGTAACGTATAGGTTAGTATAGTCTCATGTAAGAGTGAAAAAGTGACAAATTACCTTTTATCTAAAATTTTCCTTACCGAAATTTCCTCTTGGTGTCACTCAGCTTATTGACAAATGTCAGTTGATTAATACTGGAATACTGCAGCAAAAGCAAAATTATGGCTTAAATCATCATTGGGGATTTATCTTGCAATTACTGGAAATTAAAACAGAAAAGAAATTGAGAAAACTAAACCCATAATTAAAAAAACAAAAAACTTTCAAATTAGGCCAATTCAACCAGCAATGCATATTCTGAAGAGGAAATTTTCAGCCCAAAGAAAAAAGAATTTTCTCCTTTAATAGGCAAATTTTATTTTCTTCCATTTTACAAGAAAATTTCAATGTAAGTTAGAAGAACTTTCAGTTCTTTTGGCCAGTTCTTTCCTCTTGGCATCACAACAAAATGTTTCTTTCACATGAAGTGGAGGAAATTTTTGGTCATGTGAAAGGATGCAAATATGCAATCACTGAGTCACAAATTACAACTGACCACTTGACACCTTGACAGGCTTCCCAAGGTCACCACAGTATTGTACACTTTAAAACAGTGAATAATGCAGCCATGTAATATATTGTTTTCTTGTCAAAACATATATTTCATGTGAGTGTGGTTATTGTTTTCTGCCATCTTTAATAGGAATGGCTATATTTTAGGCTCTTCCAAAAAAGAAAAAAAATAGTCTGCCAAGCTTGCTAGCTGTGCATGCCTTGTTCTTTGTTGTGTGATAGAAACTTTGTCTTCTACGTGAGTTTGATCAATCCTATCATACATTTTGATTGATTTAATAGCTGATTGATCAAAATGTATCAGTAGTCCTTGTTTAAATTTGAGGTGTAAAGTGATTACACTCTGATAATATACCGGTGTACTAATACTAATGACATCCACAGGGTAAGGTTGGGTGGAAGGATGGTTACAATGCTAAGAAGTGTAGACAGTATTTGGACTGGATTGATAAAAAATGGGTTAAGTTAAGGTAAGTAGCCCCTAGCCCTTGATCACTTATTTTCATCCTTGCCATTGGATAAAATACTTCATCATTTGCCTTTAGCCCTAGATAAATTTCCTTATATAAAGAATATCATAATATGCCATTTTTTTTCACCCATGGTCTTATGTAATTTGTATTCTACATAGTTTGGTTGTAGAATAACATACAGACCAGTATGATTTCATTTAATTATTGACCAGTACAACAACATATACACTAATTTGATATCACATAAACTCTTGCTTTCAACTTGCTTGTTGACCAGTAAAACATTTACATACATTTGAAGTAGTATTTATAGTTTTGTAAATAAACAGGGACAAATGTGTGATTTGCTAACATATGTATTGAAATGTGGTTGTTTATTTATTTTTTGATTAATATTTGTTCTAGCAGTTGTTTTTGTTATTTTGGTTAGTATCCTAGTTTTATTGAAACAAAACAGAAAACGGCATCATATAAAATACAGTATTGGAAATAAATATGGAAGCTAAGGACAAAGTGGATATATAATGCATATTATATTAAGCAAATATGCACAGACATAAGCACAATGCATTATAACAGAAATAATGCACAGAAAAATGAATATGTTTTTCAGAACGTTAATATTTGGTATTTGACCCCTTTGCTTTATACAGAGCTTGACATTGTACTTTTATTATCTCATACATATCATCAATGAAAGGCTGTAACACTTTCCACAACTCATTCAAGTTCTTTGGTTGCTGTTTACTTTTCACAGCATACACATAATCCCATATGGCTGTGACATCTTGTTATGTTGAAAGATGAAACCCTTACCCAGTGAGATGTGTTCTGGAGGTAATGGCATGATGGATCAAAACCTTCCTGTATCTGTCAGCAGCCAGGATACCTTTGATTTTATGTAAGCCCTTGACACTCTTGGCTGACAGTTGTATTGATTCATCCCCATTCTGTAACTGCTGTACACTGACTGTTATACCTCCATCCAGTCCATCTCCAAACAAGCTGCCATTAGTTATTGCCCAACTTTGGATTTTCGTCTGTAAAAAGCACGTTTTTCAAGGTTTGATCATCCCATTGTTTCATTTGTGTTGCCCATTTAAGTTTTTTTTGTTTTGTTGCTTCTCAGCAAAGGTTACTGATTGGCAACATGCCCATTGAAACCATTTTCAATAATGAGTTCTTGAAGAAATGTTAACACCTGTATTTGCAGCAAGGTTTTTTGAAAGATCTTTACTGGATCATTGCTTATCATGCAAAGAATTTACTCTAAGGAATTTTATACCACTTTTGATAACTTTTGGGTTTTTTCCTTGACCACTTCTATTCTCAACAGTACTATTTTTATCTTCCTTTTTCAGAGTCTTGCATATAGCACTGGGTGAAATGTAAAGTTGGGATGTGGCCTATCCATAGGAGTAGCCTTCTTGAGTCAAAATTTTGATTTCTATACGCTTATTGAGTGTTCTTCCCTTCCTAGGAGCCATCGTATTCACCACATGTTTCAAGCTCTACAAGCACATCACACTGCTTATACTTCTAATAGTTCTTGTACTGGTTTGGCACTTTCACATTGGTTGCCTGACACCCAGTCACAATGTGGTATGTCAACACAATACTGCATAAGGCACCATTTCATTCTTTACACAAGTGATATTATTCTGTCATATGTTATTTGCATTGTATACCTGCTTTACCCTCTGTTTCCATAATTATTTTCACTAGTGTATGTCATCAATATCCCTTCATGCAAATGAATAGAAACATCTGTGATTTGATAACACATACTTATAGATGTACAACATATTGTTGATGCATAGATATCTTCATAAAAAGTTTTATATTTTGTACAGTTTTAAAGTAAAGTATGCAAAAGAAGTTTTTTTGGGATATGGTGTGAATATGCTAGAGATCGGATACTTGTTTTACATGTTAATATCATAGCATGTAAAACTAACCTTCATAAATGAGAAAAATAGAATAATTCATGTTTATAAATGTTTAGAACAAAATCAGCTTGCCCCCTCACTACTATTTAATAAACTTAACCCTATCAGTAGAAAATTGACTGCATTACATCAAGCATTTTGGTAAGAATTCGTACAGCTACAACTTTGAATATCTATTGCTTGGACAGGATTAATAGAAATTGTATATTTTATATTTGAATTCAAATAGTTCCTGAAGCATTTTATATTGTTCTTAAGATATGATGTTTGTATGTGAGTACTGGTTCTGTCTTCAGTGTATCTTGGGTAGTGCTTATCGTAAATCACAAAATGTGACGAAGAAGAAAATTGTCTTTTACTTAGTGAAATGTTTTGTTGATTTTTGCCTAACTCATATCTTACTTCTTCATTTGATCTTAATCTCATCTGGATTTTGAGTCGGCTGCTTGGGTTTCTTGTATTAGCCAAGAATCTTTATACTTGGGTGGCTGGTTCTGGCAGCAACCTTAAAGGATGAGCATGTTCAGTGACAGAAATTCAAACCAGTAGGTTGCAAGTCGAGTGCCCTAACCACCAGACCTCCCTATCTCATATTTTACTGCTTAAAAGATGCATATGTTTTATTTTAGAAAGTATAAATCAATACCTTAATAACAAGTTATGCATTCCGTTTTTGTTTGTTTGAACTTGAGCACAAAGTTACACAATGGGCTCTCTGGGCTCTGCCCACTACAGGTATCAAAACCCAGTATATTTGTGTATTGTATAGAGTTTATGAAAAACTTGCATTTGTTGTTATTATGTTTGTAAAAGATTGGTTACATGTGATAATTATATTTTATTAACTTTATTTCCTTTTTAAGAATCTGAACTTTGAATTCATTGTGTTTTTTGACTGGATATAGTTATATAAATATAGACTATGTTATTATAACATCTTTCATTTAGGTTTTGAGTTCTTATGTCATGTCCTGTAAAGTGAGTGATGTAGCAAATGTTAATTTTTTTTGTCTTTTTACGGGAGCCACTTTACATAACATTAACAGTTTATAAGGAAGAAAGACAATAAGGCAATATGTACATTATACATATAAAGTATTGTTAGTTTAATATTGTTTAAAAAATTAATAATAATCTTTAAGAACTTCTGTGACAATTTTAATAGACTTAGATATAAAATTATATATATATTTTTTTTCATATATACTTACCCAGAAGAAGTCTGAAATTCCCTTGCTACAAATGACAAAGTCAAGCATCTTTATACTGTGGAGGAATTGTGAATATTGCTGAATGTCTTACAAGAGATAAGACATTTTGTGTAAGGAATTGTAGATGAATGACAAGGTGTTATTTGGAATTATAAAATGAAATACCAGAAATAAACAAGATTTTTTTTAAATTCAAGGTATTAAACTTTTTTAACTCTTTCACTGCCATGTGCACATGGTTCCTCCACTAGGCCACTGCTATGCAAATTTGGAATTTTGTATCACTGTGAAAAAAGAGCAAGTTTTCCCATCAAACTTCCTAATCTTTACTGCTTTCAAATTTCAGATAAATAATAAAACATTAAAACATGTGTATATCTGAAAATAAACTGGCACTTGGAGAGTTGTTTATCTATAAATATGGCAGTGAAAGAGTTAAAACTCATCATAGTGAGATGTTGTGCCTTTAAAAATGAAGTTGATATAATATTAGTGATACACTTTGTAATGCAGGAAATGGTATACCAAAGGATTTCTTGAACCCAAAGAAATTGTTTATTTGTATATGTGCTTGAAGTAGATGGAGTCTGAGTCTAAGTCTTTCAGATAGAAAGTCTAGTTCTTAGCCTTGTGGTACTTACAAAGTTTGCTGAATTTAGCTTCTTCTTTAGTGACTAAAATATGCTACTGAAATGCAATACATACTTGTGTACAGGAACAGTAGGAATTCCAAAAGTATGTGAAATTACAGCTATGTATAAAGAGCCTGTCATAGTTGTTTTTAACAAATTGGCTTAAAAATTTAAAAACTGTGGATATTTTTTGTACCCTTCTTTAAAGTATGTTAAAATAATTTTCTTTATACTTGTTTATAACTAACCATATCTTTAGCTAATAGTTATTATAACACATTTAAAGGACCTCTTACTCAAGTATATACAAATATATTAGCTTTTGAAAGGATGTTTAAAAATTGTTTTAAGCTATTTTTATAACTCAAACCTTAGTTAAAAAATTTTGTGTGGATATTTTTTGTACCCTTCTTTAAATTATGTTATAGACATTTCCTTATACTTAAATTGTTTAATTAGCCATATCTTTAACTGGTAATATATTATGACAAATTTAAAGGACCTCCTAATCAAGTAGTTAGTGTACATGCAAATATATTAGCTTTTAAAAGGATTTTTACAAATTAATTGTTTTTAAGCTATTTTTATAAGTCAAAATGTTGTTTAAAAAATTCTTAATTAGATATTTTTATTAATTCAACTCATGGAATTCATTTGTAAGTGTATGTGCATAGTTGTTTTTCAAAGAACATTGAGATTTAAGAGGGTTTACTTATCTTTTGTATAATGTTTGTAGTTAAGGAGAGAAGGAAACGTGAGTTTCTTTAGTAACATGAAAACAGATTTGTAGGAAATCCAGTTCTTGTTATAGTAACAAATAGGAGTTCTGAAGTAATAACAAACGAAGTTATCACTAATAATTTTAGTAAAAATATAAACTTAAACATCTGGAAGTATTACAGTTGAACCAACAAATGTACATAGATGTTTTTTTTATTAGACTTTGTTTTATATATATATATTAACACATGTATTGATATTATATTACTTCCTACTTGAAAAAACTATACTAGAACAAGATTTTTTAATTCAAATTAACTTTTTTTAAACTTTGCTAAAGTGAGACGACATGCCTTTAAAGGTGGAAATATTGGTGAAACTGATAAATGTTGAAGTCATTATTCGAGAATGTTGCATTATACTTGAAAGATTTATTACAAATTTTATATTTTTTAGACGATTCCGAGAATTAGGATTTATGAAATGAATGATAACTTATTTTTGAAGCAATTTTATTGTAAACATAGAAATAGTTTTTAAGATTTAAATTGATTTAGGTGATTTTTTTTTTGTTACAGAGAAAGATCTTAGATTTTAAATATATATATATATATATATATATTTAATATGTTTTTTAAAACTTGTGACCAAAAGAAGAAAAGCTACTTCACTTAATGTTTGTTGGTGTGTTTTCAGAAGTGTACTAATGTTGTTGAGGTAGCTTCAGATTTAGACTTTTTAACATCTTCAACCTTTTTTCTTGTGGCTTGTTTTATACTTGACATCAGCTCTCTCTCTCACTGCATGTTAAAAAGTCATGATGTGTAGTTGTCAGTGTTGAAAATGGCAGATGTGTTATTGAAATAAAATTTTAAAAACTAGTAGTAGTTAAATGTGGGGGCACATTTAGGGTGTGTGGGGCCCTGGGCCGATGGGATTGTGGGGTGGCTGAGGCCGTATACAACATATTGTGTTGTGTGATTTTTGGGGTTGCATCTTTTAACTACTCTTCACATTCCAGTAGTAAAAGAAATTAAATAATTCTAAAATATGCCATTTTTTTACTCAAAACAAAATGTAATGTTAGTAATTTTTTACATAAAAATCACGTTTTTCACATTTTAACTATCAATAAAAATCATACTTTATCTGTATCATACAAATCATACATAAACATGTGGTGTTACAGATTTCAAAATGGGTATCTGTGAAAACTTTTTGCATTGAAAAGTCTTTAATGAGACCACCATTTTTCTGAAAGTGCTATGTTGTATGCTCAGAAGTGTTAAAAGAGCACAATCAGTCCTGTCCCATCGTACTTTGAAGGTAGTTCTTTATTAGCTTTAATTTGGAAAATGAGCACTCTCCAGTACAGTACAGCATAGCTGAGAATTGTACTATTTCTGACTCAAGGCTTTTCTCCAGGTCATGTGGATAGCATGTGACAACCTTAGCTGTGGCTCCTCTGAGATCAATTGTTGTAGATTGAGCATGTCTGATAGAAATCCAAACCTTCCTCTGAGAAATCCAAACCTTCCTAGAAGAACTTCATATGCTTCAAGCTTCAAGTTTATCAATGATAAGAAAGTAGAAACTCACTCTAAACTTATCTCTATGTAATAGTTGAACATCCTCCGCTGTGCTTAGCTCATCGTGGTGTCGTTTCTGCTTACGAACACGTTGTTTATCATCCTTATAGCCACGTTGACCACACTTTTCAACACCTCTGTTCAAATTCATCAAACTGTGGCTGCAATTCTTCAACAAATTTTAAAAGAGACTCAAGTAACTGTACAGCTGCGTTGATTGACAGACCAGCTTTTTGCAGCTGCAAATTTGTTTTGCAGAATCTGTCCAAAATTGTATGCCACACTTCCAGCAAAATAGCTATTTCAACTTCTTTCAATTGTCAGACACGACCAGTTGCTTCAGCCCTGGTTTAGCTGTTTCGTTGGCATCTGCTGATAACTCCTTAACACTGTGCGATGTTCATTGTATCCTTCACTAAGAACTTTGATAACATTAGCCCGCGCAAATCTTTGTCAACTGTCAAATTTTTATTCTCGCTATTTTACAACGCTTCACAATACTTTCTCCAGCAATGAGTAGATGCCACAAGGTAGGCATAAACCTTCTCAACTAGATTAAACAATACTACAGCAGCAGGGCAACTTTCTACTGCACATTTGCCCACCAAGTTTAGAGAATGACCCATGTAGCTTTGTGTACCACGATATTTGCCAGACATATTACTTACGTTATCATATGACTGATCATGGCAATGGGTATTCTCTTCTCCTGGAGAAAATTCAGAACAATCTCGGCTATTTATTTGCCTGTGTGACTAAGCATGGGTATGAACTTCAAATATCATTCAACTGGTTCTGCTGGCAAGAAATAGCATATGGTAAAACTCAGTTAAACAATATGAGATGTTAGGTGTAGAATCTACAGAAATGGAAAAGTACTTTTCATTTTGAACTTCATTTATAATTGAAGACAAAACTTTGTCTGCCATCAGTTGAATAAGTTCTTCACAAATGAAATGTGATAAGTAGGATGTGTGTGTCCACTACCTTTATTTGCATGCTTACTGATATGTTCACAAAGGAACTTTAATACGTCCACACAACAGTTTTCGTTGTTGGTAATGTTTTATGTACGACCTGGAGCATGATATGTCATGCGATAATTTCATGACTGAAATGAAATTAGAATTGTTAGGTTAAGGTGTTTGTTCGACTTTTAATTCTGTTATCTACAAATGTATTAGTTTAGGCAATTTGAGCATAAAAATAATAAGTTTTTTACCCGCAGTGATCTGATTGTGTAAGATATTTACAAGTAGAGAAGTATTCGCTTAGTAATTGCTCATTGCTGTCGTCTGTTCGATATCGTAAACCAAGATAATGGTTCATAATTCCAAACAACACATTAAGACCCTTGTTATTGACTGCTAAGGCTGTACATCCATATATAAAAATGTAGAAAAAAGCATGCATGTTAGACTTACAAGAAAGTGAAAGTCCGCTCAAACGGCACGTTTGTAATTCTTTTTCTTAATATTATACTCTTGCCAGCTTACAACAAAAATGGCTTGGTATATTGCACCCAAACGTTTTGTAGAAACTAAATAAGGTACTGCGGAGGTCTTGAAAAGTTGATTTGCTTCTTCTATATTTTACGTAAGCTAAAAAACTCCATAATTCTAGTGTAAACGATGTTATCATTGCCTATTGAAGTTAGCTTTCTTACAAATATATAGTGTTCCTTTAAAAAGCTTGAGTACAGGATTTACCAGCCAATAATAGATGAATATTAGATGACTGTAACATGTGGATATTCAATGGTTTGTACACTATACAATTGGTGTTTTTAGGGAGCAAACCCCTAAATTTATTATGTATGAAGTGGAGGAGTAAAAAAATCAATACACATAATATTAAATTTAGATACACACATTCGTAGAATAATTACTTTAAAAGACACAAAGGTTTATTTAAAGTGATGTTTTAGACGTCCGTTGTATTTGAAAAGGCTGCTTTTCTATTAGTAAAATTTTATACGCGCTTAGTGGAGGTTGTATTTTACTCTAGGCATATATTTGCCCATTGCTATGTATCACATATAGAGACTTTAGTTACATAGAAACTATAAATGCTCACAATATTCTCAAATAAATCTCCAGCTACAGGTTAATATTTTACATCCCGAATTAATGCGATCAAATAGTCAATAACTACATGAACTGTATCAGCTAGCTACTAGCTATGTTTATTATCATTACAATGTATAAAGTTAGCTACCATATCAAGTAATCCTTTGCCCATAGTTGAGCATAAAAAAGTCAGCAAACAAGATAAATAAAAAATTCGAAATTTAAAAACCCGCAAATAGGAATCGTAAAAAAGTAAGCAAACAAGGTTGGAGATACTGTAGACATTAGTTATTCAAACTACAAACCCTTATTTTGGCTCCATCCTGTTACCTAGAATTAAATTTGGTGGAATCAAAATAGGGATTTATGGTTTGAGTAAATGATGTCTACAATATCTTTAGTGTTATTTGCGTACTCTTTTTTTATGCTTTTAAAAACCTGTTTGCAGGTTTTTAAATTTCCATTTTTATTTATCTTGTTTTAATATTTGTTTCGGTAATAGCAACGTCTTTAGTATTAAGCCAGTCACCCATTTTACATAACATTATCCTGCATACACACACGTACGCGCCACTTTTGAGAAAGTTACTAGTATCTTAAACTTTTGACTTGTTAATTAGATTAAAATGACGAACAACTATAAGGTTTATAATTATGTTAAACTTTTAAAACTAACCTTTATTTTTCATTTATTTAGTTTATTATAGTTTAAACGTATAATCGTAGTTCATCTCAGAAAATTTGATCATTTTGCTACATTGTTAACTGTTCAAACACAGCTATCTGATATTGGTATTTAAACTGTACACTTAAAATAAAACCAAACTTTAATATAGCGAATACTTGGTCTTTAAGTGTCATATTGCTTTCTACAGTTTGTCATTATTTTTACGGAGTTCTTTTGATAATTTTATAGTGGAAAAAATACTAGTTCTTTAATATATCAAAAAAAAAGGAACTAACATTGGCTGTTTTAACACATTTATGTCGAATTAACAAAATGTGAGAGCCCAGTTTTAAGTTTTTCATAAATGTTGATAAAGTTCGAAAATTACACCAGTAGAGATAAAAAAATAGTTCTATAGGGCAGAACATATTTACTGTGTTATAACGAACAAAACTGTGTATTACAATTGAAGTAATCAAATAATGTCAACAATGTAGTAGTTAGCGTGTCCAGGTGCTGATCGAAAAGCCCAAGATCAGTGGCGACGCAAGGTAAAATCATACCAAACAATTGCTTGAGCCCTGATTCATGGAGATTTGTTCTCATATTTTAATCTAAACATTGGGTTTGCCTATTTTTAGTATTGTATTCGTAAAAAAATGTTTTCGATGAATGTGTTTCAAAAATACATCACTTAGTTACTGACAGAAACGTTTAAAAATTGCAACGGGAAGACAGTCTTCTTTCAGTCGCACTTGCGATGCGCTGATTGGCTGCTAAGTGTGGTATGCGTACATTGTGCATGATTTGAGAAATATACTAGTGCAGCAGTGTTAGTGTGTGCATAGAAATAAATTTTTAATAAGTGTATGTGTTGTACAGGAGCGTCGAGAGCCATCACGGGCCCCGGGGCAAACATTCTCGCCGGGCTATCTTTCGATCTCTCTTTCTTTTTTTGGCATTTTTAAGAACTTATTTAAAAGAAGATCCTGAATTAGGACAGCAACGAGCTCATAAACACAAGCATAAAAACGATAATAAAGTAATATATTAAATCTATATAGTAACAAATATATATGAATTATTATTTAAATTATTATTTCAATCGTTCTTGATGTATCAAGCGCCTATATGCAAATATAGGCCCCAAACTTTGCTTTTAAATGATTACATGAAGATATAGTCTAAAGGTGCTTCACAGCATAACCAGGTTACGTTCACCCGGACCCCTGGGCAGTCGCCTCCTTTGCCCTCCCTGTCGGCGGGCCTGGTGTTGTTATTGGGTGAGGGCAGCAAAAACACTTGTGCTTAGGACCTTGCAGTCAGTCGTATCGTATTCAGTCAGATTTTGAGTTCATAGCCAGCACACTATGCTTCCTAATAGAAAGCCACACGTCCCTTATTCGACGCTGCCACTAATCATCGACTTTTCTCCACGAGACACTGCCGATTTAAGCCCAAGTTATACCCGAACGCACCCGTCGACTTCGCAAGGGAGAGATTCTCCTCCAACCCAAGTCACCTGAAGATCTACGCTACCTTTGCCGACCGTGGCTGTCAAACCCACCCGTCCCCTGCCAACCTCCACATTGTTTTCCTCAGAAACGTCTACCAGTCTTTCACCACTGAGGAAATTCATCAAGTCCTCAACATTTCCACGAACTCAACCATCCACACAGTTCACCGTATCACATCTAAGAAAACCGGACAACCCTCTCTATTTGTAAAAGTTGTAACTACATCTCTACTAACAGATGACTTCATCATTGCCCACGGCTGCTCTATCGGCTTCCACCACTTTAGTGCAGAAAAACCCTACTGAAAACCTCACCCACCTCCTGCCGTAATTAGTACACCCCCAAGTCTCCTCCTCGCCACTCTCCGACAACACCCGCCTCCTTCCAGAAATTGCAACCTGAAGTTTGTGTCAACCATCAACAAAGGACCAACAAACCCAGACTACACCTATAACTGAAATCAAGCTACAAGTCAACTCAAACAATACCAACAACAAGAAGGAAGAAAGGAACCCAGACCCACCTTCCGCTCCCTCCTCGTCAAACTCACCTAATGCTCTATTTATTGACACCTCCGCCGAATCCCTCACTCAGCCATACGACCTATCCGATGAACCTTTCCTCGTTTTTTGCATACCTTCCAGCGACCTACCCACGCCGACAAAACTCCTCCCGAACACAAACAAACTCTTGACCAATATCCGCAGATTTAAAAATTCCTCGAAGCACTAATTACTTCATAGCACCGCCTCTCACTTTGCCACCTCCCAGCTTCTTATTTATTTATTCTCATTAACCGGGCTCTGGTAATGGATTAGCGCATTACCAGCGAAAGTGGGTACTCACTTTTCCCCACATCAAATTCTTGACATTGGATTTACAGACCCCCCGCCCTGATGGACCATGTGTCCGAGATTGGCCGTTTATTAGTGTTAATATTAGTAATTATACTTTTTTAATCTATCCGCTAATTTGTCTAGTAAATTTATCAAAATTTGCCCATTCAGTCTATTCTTCAAATTAAGTCCAAAACATCTAATCCACGAGGAGGGCGAAGGAAGATTGCTTAATCTTCGAGTGCCACTGATGATTAATTATTTCTACTGAAGTAATTAATTTCACATCCAAACAAGTGCGAGGACACGCACATCTTCAATTGGCTAGCACCACCCCTGTTCAAGATTCACACCGTGATATCGCTTAACACGCTCCGCTCTTTCAGCTGTGTATACACTAGATGAGTGTCAGTCCATTATATTATTCAGCTCAAAGCAAGACAGAGCCCTTGTGGCGGCGAGTGTTACTGACTGGTTGCTCTCCCTCTAGTGAGTAGTTCGAAAGTAAGGATGGCTATACTTGTCTTAGGCTATTTAGCCTATGCTTACATAAGGTGCAGTTCAGGTTTAAAATGTGTGAAAATATTAATTAGTTGTATTTTTTTATCATTCTGGTTTCACTTTCGATTGATACAGAACGTGTATACAAGATTATTTAAATTTCTTGGTGTAGTTTTAACACCCAGTGTGTGAGCGAACTTGAAGGATATCGTGAATCTTCGGGGGTGTGGAACGGGTCAATATATATATCTGGTATTACAGGTACAGTAAAAAAAAAGTTATTGCACCCCGAAAAAATTCTTGACACTGTAAGCTGACACTGCTTCTTCTGTTGCTACATGGTGTAAGGTATGTCACTGTGACCCTGCTTCTTCTGTTCCTACATGGTTTTTAGTTATGTCCCTGTGACATTGCTTCTTCTGTTTCTACGTGGTGTTAGTTATGCCACTGTAGCATTGCTTCTTCTGTTCCTACATGGTGTAAGTTGTGACCCAGCTTCTTCTGTTGCTACATGGTGTTAATAATGGCTTTAATATAAGTTTTTCTTCGTTACCCATTCAAGCCGTCTCCAACCATTATTAGTCTCAAAGTGGGTTCCTCGTCATCGAATCTACATGGTGTTAGTTATGTCACTGTGACATTGCTTCTTCTGTTCGTACATGGTGTTAGTTATGTCATTGTGACACTGCTTCTCTCTCAAGTCATCGTGTCTTATCGTTAAGTCATGTTCTGATGTCATTTTATGTGAGATGAGGTTCGAGATTACTGCTTTGTATTTACGTAAGAACCCACAAAAGGCTGATACAAGAAGTGCTGCTAGTTTTATTATTTCCCTTATCTTTGCATTTTGTCTCTAATATGTTCATAACAGTCTTTGTATGTAGACACTTATGGTGTGTGGACCTATTTGAGTTGTGTAGTTTTGATGTTTGATAAATGACTCTGTTAGTTTCACTGTAAATAGTAATTTCGTTATAATCAAATATCTATTGAAATTATTAGGATTTTTTACATTGTCTTAAATTAAGTAGCTTTGCTTTATTTAATAACATTTACCATACCTCATGATAAGATTAATAACTCGGTCAATATTGAGTCTCCATGTTTAACACATTTAATTCTTCTCTTGAAGACTAAAAACGGCTCGAAAGCAAATTAGATTTTTGTCACTAATTTACCCCTGCTGTGAATTTAAAACAGAACTTATCATGATATATCAGCAGCCAGTCGAGCAAAAACTATCTTGGGGTTGGTCTGCCCATATCATTTGTCAGTATTACATTATGATTCTGAATGTACCACACGATTCTTTACTACATCCGGAACATCAACACCCACCTACAGTCACAACAATCTAGGATTTACTGTTGCAGAATACATCTTTCTCAACAATAAACCATTGAAGTGTTTGTTTTGAATTGAAGTGGCCGCACCTCTGCTGATAAAGATAAAAAAAAAAAAGGTATCGTATCTCTGCTATAAAAAAAGTTTTCTCTGTGGTTTAAGACAGTTTTGTTGTCGCGGTGATGGCTGAGGAAGCGGCTTCGTCAAAGCTAACGTGCAGCAAGCTGCGACGCGTCTAAACTTAGTACGTGCTTCAAATATAATCATTGTTGACGGCTTTATAGGTTAATATTGTGTGGTTGTGAATCAATGGCTGGCATTATCAGTTTGTGTGTTTTTTTGTTGTTGTTGTAAAGGTATTAAACCTGAAACTCACAGTGATCGTTTGCGGTATTGAGATCTGATATGTTTACAGTTATTTTAATTTCTTATTTCTATCTTGAATTTGTACCGAACTTTTTGTTAAATTCAGTTTTGTTTTTATACATAATTAAGTTCATATTCCTATATTATTATTTTATTCTACAAAAAGAACAGTTGGGTATGTATGTCTGATCTACTGAGTTCTTCCTTGGAGATCAAGACTGAGAAATACGAAATAAATTGTTAGAAATGAATTCGTGTGTGAATTTTGTTTTAACTTCTCGAAAACCTGCATGCTTAAATATGTAGCAAAAGATTTGGTACATTTAATTTCGTATTTCATCATGCTTTTACGTTATCTCGCTAAATTAATTGGAATTTCAACAGTCGAATTTAATAAAACCAGAATTAATTTTTCAGAACAATGCATTTCTCTAAGGAACATGTAATCATTTACTTAAAATGATGTGTAAATATATACATATGTAATACCGTTCTTTCTTTTTTTTCTAAGTTCGATCCACCGATGGGTTATTACTGAAACAGGGAAACTTATCCCTCGTTGGCTAAGAGGTAAATGTGTGCTCGTATTGCTAAAAATCGGGTTTCCATACCTGCGATGGGCATAGCACAAATAGCTTGTCTTGCTTTATGCTTAACAGCAAACAAGCATACAAGTTATATAAGAGTATCATCACACATCCTATGCACACGTGTGCTTGGTGAAAATATCTGATAATCCTAGAGTAATGTTTCAAGTTTATTTAAATGAAAAAAGCCTGATTTTATAGTATCGGGAACCACCAGAACAATGATTATCAACCTTTTTTCTTCTCGTAGACTCTTCAAACGAAGTATGATTAGAATTTCGAATAGTCCGAAGCCGAGTTAACTGATAATTTAAATTTAGTAGTTAAATTGTACTTTGGATTTAGTATTCAAATATATGCCGATATTTTAGTCAATTTACGATATTTGCCAACAAGATTGATACACACCGTCTTCGTTTTTAACACAAATACGTTTTAATATACACACAACCATACAATTTACAATAACAATTATTACAAATAGTTATTACAAACAATGATTTATAAACAGAAGTTTCACAAACTTACAAACAATATAAAGTTTTCTTTCTAGTCTGGAACCTCCTTGATATCTTATCGAGGGTTCACGATGAGCGAGTTGATTACGAGTTGATGTAGATATGATCCGCTGGGAAGCTTTGTCCTTGGCCACACACACTAGGTTTTCCACGATTAATTTATATGTCTTCGTAAAATTACTAATGTCCGATGAGAATCCACTGAAGTTAAACGATTTGTAACGTTCGAAATTTATAAATATTCCTGGTCAGATATCTTAAGTTTTTCGATTGATAAGCGTTATAACAATCACAGTTATATCTTTCGAAGTTTATAGCACACTGACCATAGCAAACTAATAATAGATACTCTCCTTGGCAAGTCGCGCTGGTTATATTTATAGCCATGGGAAGGTTTTCTAGAAAATTCAGTCTTACGTGACAATACTGGTTAAAGCGTTTAAGTATATAAATATATTGTTGATTCTAACTCTCGGGAATCTTCTACAACTTTGGAGAATAGGCGGGAGTTTCGCAATACCTATCTAACAGTATAAGCTATGTATGTTTCTAAATATAAACTTAATCTAAACAACGTTCATGTTAAAATAAATACATAACAACACATTCATTACAGTACAATCTCGCAAACCTCTATACTCGGACAGGTCTATCTGCGGAAGCTAATCTTGTACAGTCTATAGAAGTGGCGCTGATGTAAAGTAAGATTATTTTCATTTAAGAAAAATGATATAGTTTCTGTTTTTCAAGAAATTCGATATTTTGTTTGTTGTTGACCCCAAAGAAAGGCAGTGGATTATATGTTCATTATCCATTACGGGTATCGAAATCCGATTTTTAGCATTGTAAAACCTCAAACTTTTGAAGGAGGGGTGGGACTCAATTTTTACTGTCCCAAACCTCTTTAGATTGCTCACGAACACCTAGCGAACTATGGGTAGAAAGCCACTGCACGAGAGAATTTAGAGGTAATCTTCTGAGGCTCATTCTATTCAGCAGCGACCGGGCGTGGCCTACTGGATAGCGTGCCGGGCTGTGGAGAAGAGGGTCCATGCTTCATGTCCCGTTAAAACATAAATAAATGCGCTTGCATTTTGTAAGCCGTGAGTGTATTGTAAGTGACTGTCAAATCCCACTTTTCGGTCTGACTAGAGTAGTCCATGAGCTGGCGATGTTCTTGTTGACTAGTTACCTTGACTCTAATCTGTCAGAACAGTGCAGATATCCGTTTTGTAGCTGTGCGCGCATATTTAGATCTAGATTAGATTATCACACTTTATGTCCATATGCACTGAAAGGGCACAACTGTATATATGTTGCCCGGTTGTACGATTTGAAACGACAAATTATCAAAACAGTTAGAGAGGAAACAAACAGTATCAATAGTTTCGTTTTGAGTTTATTCGCCGATTATAAGTATGATTTTATTACAAGTTACAACTTTTACAGTAAGGAAGACTATTTTTGAAACAGGTACGACATTTCGGTCACCGGTGCGATCATTCTCGAGTTGTATACTTGAGAATGATCACACTAGTGATCTAAACGTCGTACCTGTTTTAAGAATATTCTTTCTTACTGTAAAAGCTGCAACTTGTAATAAAATAAAAATGGCATCATTGTTGAATAAGCAGTGTAAACGAAAAAGGCCGATTTGTAGTTGTGCTTATACGACATTAAAACTATTTCAAACTAAAATTGACCATAAATTAGTGTCTCTTTGTAATAAGTCCAATTCATAACGTTCACTAATCCCAGCGATTTCTTCAAAATTATAATAAATCGAAACGGAATTTGAAACGCTGATACTAAATGTTACTTATTTTCTTGGATTTGAAATCCAAGTTTTAATCAGTTTACGAAATTGTTAAATTAGTATTTCAGAATATTTTAGTATTACAAAAAGTTGTAAATTTACAGAATAGAAATATATATGTAAGATAAGATGATTTTAGTTTGCTGAACCTGTATAATTTAGTAGTGAGGTAAACGACCAGTAGTAAATTTAAAGAGTCACGCAAAAAAACATAACATTTATGTTTCTGTTAGTCTGAGCCTGGCATGACCAGATGGTTAGGGCGCTTGAATCGAATCCCTGTTCCACCAAATATGCTTTCCATTTCAGTCGTGGTGGCGTTATAACGTAACGGTCAATCCCACTATTTGTTTGTAAAGAGTTGGTGATGACTAATTGCCTTTCCCTTAGTCTTTTACTGATAAATTAGGGATGGTTGCGCAGAAGCCCTCGTGTAACTCTGCGCAAAATTCAAAACAAACCAAACCTTTTCGTCTGTATATACTTAATACAATGACTTGGTCTTGAAATTACGTAAGGTTCACATGATATCAATGTGCGTTGATTATAATGGAAGTATTATTGCCGAAGTAGCTATATTCATTCACATTTAAGAACACACACACACCACACCCCAAAAAATGAAGGTTTAAATCAAGGTCTGAAAGGCTATATGTTACACTTGTGTGATTCGTTTATGCATACAACGTAATAAGATATTGAAAATATATTGTTGAATACAAGACATTCTAACCTTTAGTATTAAATAAATACAAGATGAAAAAATATTCCTCTGCATAACTAGATAAGTAAAATCAGAAGATGCGTACATACTTATTGGTTAAGATTATTTACTTCCTGAGCATAAAAAAGGTAAAGGGGAATAGATTTAATACTGTCTGTAAACATTAAATCATGAATGCAATTTACGCGAGCCCCCAGTGGTAAAGCGGTACGTCTGTGGACTTATACCACTAGAAACTGTGTTTCGATACTCGTGATGGGCAGAGCACATGTAGCCCATTGTGGAGCTTTGTGCTTAACTACAAACTTACAAAGAAGCATTTATTTGAAAAGAAGTGTCATTAACTTTGTGCACATTTCACGTGTCTTGTTGTCAGAATGCCCAGCTGTTTCGAAACATTTTGCACTCCCTAAAAAGACAGTAGTACATTTCATCTCCAGACTTGATCATTTGTTTTTTGTTGTTGTTTTTTTACGGTTGCTTCAAATATGTTTTCTGTTGTGACGTTATTATCAACAAAATGGTGGCGAGTAGGAATTTTCAACGGAAACGTAGACTATTAAAACTACTAAAAACTAAACAAACGCAGAAACAAATAGCGATATATTAATGTCCGTAATAAGTAGTTGTTAACATGCTATTTTACAACTGGTCTATACACCAAAGGCAGCCTGGACAAGGTCGAGGATGGTGAGCTATGCCACGTAAAGACTATTTACTGTCTGTACATGTCCATTAAGAATCTTCTAGCTTCCTGTTAATTAAATGAATTGTGCCTACGTCAACTCGAAATTAACTCGCTCATTGTGAACCCTCGATAAGACATCCAGGAAGTTCCAGACCAGAAAGAAAACTATATATTGCTTGTGAGTTTGTGAAACTTTTGTTTATAAATCATTGTTTGTAATAACTATTTGTAATAACTGTTATTGTAAATTGTATTGTTGTGTGTATATTAAAACGTATTTGTGTCAAAAAAGGAATCTGTGTATCAATCTTGTTGGAAAATATCATAAACTGATTATATATCGGCTTTTACTTAACTACTAAATCCAAAGTATAATTTAACTACTAAATTTAAATTTTTCAGTTAACGCAATTTTTGGCTATTTGAAATTCTAATACGTAACACCGTGCACTGCCTACGATTACTGTATAGAGTTCAGGACAGTAACTGAAGTGATCTTCCTGACCTCGTTGTAGAAAATTGACCTCACTAATGCATCGTAGGATAAGATAGAACCTGTTTCAACTTGCAGTTTACCGTACATTACCACATAACCTGTTCGGGCTTTCTTAGAAATCTCTAGGATTGACTGTATTCTTGGCATACAAACCTAGGTTTCATCTGTATACTAACGATCGACAGGATTGTGCCTGGTATGTTTGTTTGTTTTAACACAAAGCCACATAATGAGTTATCTATGCTCTGTCTATCCGGGGAATCGAAGCCTGGATTTCAGCGCTGTTAGTCCGTAAAGACCGTTTTTGTAGGTTATGAAGTGAGGAGGAATCATAGAGCATATTATGCACAGATTTATTGTTTTCGAAGGGCGGATGTACTGTTTCAGAATTAATACTGATATAATATTAGATCGAATTAAATACTTTTTCGCGAATATGATTGGACCAGATTATGTACAGATTTTGCGTGGTGTCATCTTGCTAGGACTGTAATGAAGTGCACAATCTTGAATTGGTCATGAAGTCGTGAGTTGGCTGAGAAAGAGACTTCAACACCATTGAGACTTTCTTGGATAAATTTATGTGAATGATTTAACCTGCCATTCGACAACAAAAAGTTCTTTGCTGTAACGACTGAGGAATGGGGCAATATTTATCATAGCCCACCCGCTGGCTGATCAGAAGTATGCCCCTGAGATGCAGATATTATATGAACGCTAATAGGGCTGACAATAGGGGAGATACTTGTTTCTAAGTATCTGAAGTTGATAATTTGCTATACTTGTTTCTAAGCACAAAACTACACTATGGACTATTTGTTCTGTGTCGACCCAGGGTATCGAACCCGATGTTTAGCATTATAAGCCCACAAGCTTACCGCTGAGCCACATGGGGAGGATTTAAAGTTGATAAAATGTTACTTTTTTCAAATAAGTTAAAGTCAGGCATAATCAGTGAACCTTTAAACTTAAATATACTCTAATTGTATTAAATTTATTTAGTTAATTGAAGAACAATCTAACTGTAACGTGTTTCCCCTTTAATTCTTTAGTGTTTTACATGCGAATAACACATTATTTTGTTAACTATTGCTACTTTACCTCAGATAAACCATCGTATAAAACAATGAAACATCTTAAGTCATGCGTCTGTAATTTTCTTTTCTGAAAATTTTCCTAAAATTGAATATAAAGTTTGAGATGTCAAAACTTTAAAGGTACCACTGATATTTAATGTGTGAATATAGTCCACAGTTCTTTACTTGTATAAATAAGTTCATCTTAGAACGATTTTTATCTGTTATATATATATATATATATACATAATTCTTAATTAACTGAATTCTTCGATGGGGCAGTGGTAAGTTTACAGACTTACAATGCTAAAATCCGAAGTTCGATACCCCACGGTAGACACAGCAGATAGTTCAATGTGACTTTGCTGTATTCTTTTTTCCCCCATAAGTTATATTACTAGATCGCAGTTTTCAAACTGCAGTTATTTCAAGTAAATTAGAGCTGATGATAACATTTAAGCAAAATCTAGTTTATAACAAATTGATGTATTATCAAAATTGAGCAAACATCTGTTATTTGGACTGCAAATGTATATTAAAGAGAAAGAAGAGAAGAGTAGTTGATACATATTTATTAGTGCTAAAACCTATCCGAAGTAACACGAACTCGGTATTCTCAGCATTGAACTAATGAACTGACAATGGCAGATTAACTGGCCTAACACTGAACTAAATCATGCACTAATTACTCATTAATCGAGTAGCTAATTCGATGACTCATTCTAAGATGCTCATTAAATGACTCGCTCAAATTGTTTTCTAAACTTGGGAGACAGCTCCAGAACAATAAGGTCACACACATTACGTTACATCAAAGACGGCCCATTTGCTATCTCAACAAATATAAATGGTAGCGCCCCCGTGCAGTGAATGTGAAGAACATGACATGAATGAATAAATGCTGTTCGTTTTCCCTATCAGAAATGGTTTCGGTTTTTGTTTAATACTTGCTTGAGCGTACAGAAATGTGAAACCAAAAGACTATGAAAGAGTTTGGTAGTTCAGGTAGGCCTACGGCAATATATACTACTATTTTATTAAAGCAAATTGACTATTAAGCGTTAGCATTTTAAAACAGTCAATAATAGAAGTAAAACTTAAAATTTAATACATTATTTTAAATTACAAAACTAGAATTTCATAGAATCTCGATCCAATAAACTATGTACGGTAACGCATCTAGACCTCATGGGGCCCTTGGAGCAAAATCAGATGTGGTATTTAACCCTCTATTACACTATAATGAAAATGCAGTAGAAAATGTTTTCTTTGACGTTTTTTTTAATTAAATAGGTGTATATTGAACACAAAGTGGTTTTGTGAAATATATTTTGGCAAGTTATAAATGGGTACATTACCTGGAAGTAACATTGTTCAATTGAGAAACCAACAAAAATAATTCCATGGTTTATTTGAACTGTTACCTGGAGGTAAGAGAAATCAACTACAGAACTGAAGCATTTATATGCAACAAATATAGATTTGTTAAATGTACGTTACAATGTGCATCAGAGGGTTAACCACTGTTTTCCCCAAGAAGCTGGGGGTTCCATAGACTTGATCAACCAGTAAGGTAGGTAACTGTGCCCGTGTAAAAGGTTGTTTATTTAATGATGATACTAGATGAGTTAATACAGACTAGTGTGGTTTTTTGAATATTTTTCTTGAGAAAATAATGTGACTGTCAATTACAATATTTGTTGGTAAAAGAGTAGTCCAAGAGTTGGCGGTGGGTGGTGATGACTAGCTGCCTTCCCTCTAGTCTTTCACTGCTAAATTAGGGACGGCTAGCGCAGATAACCCTCGTGTAGCTTTGCGCGAAATTCAAAACAAACAAACAAAGAAACTTGAGAATATATCACATTTATCACAAAACCTAATGGTTTTTAACCTCATGTGCACGGTTGAAAGTCAAAAGGCACATGTCATGATCTTTTACAGAGTGCCATTCAACATAGTATTAAGTATTTAATGTCAGAGTTATCAACTGTATGTTTTACCCTTAGTTGCTGATTTAGTGACAGTTCGTGGTAGAGAATAGTAAATACTAGATACAATATACAGGGGTACTGAAAAAAAATGTAGATATGCGTTTTGGAGGTTCTAGAGGTTATGTAAATACAATATGCAAATTGTATGTTTGACAAAAGTATTTTTATTCTTTAGATGAACATCACTTTGCCTTCCGACTTATGAGAGTCTGAGTCAGACTGACGTCGTCATTTCACAGACATATTTTAAGAACATATACGTTTGTAGCACATCTGACTTTCTGTGTACAACAAACTTTATATTTGATACATTTTGTATAGATACATGTTGTAAATTCGGAATTATATTCAACATTTCTTTTCTTATACGGACTTGTTTCGATGCACCAATCCCGTGTACATTCGATTCACATATTTCGCCGACCCTATCTTACTATAATGGACGTATCGTGTATTTCAGTATCTATGTATGTAACCAAAACTCCTGCGCCATCTATTGAATGGCACCAAAAACAAAAATCCATAAAACAATTCACATCTTGGATATTCAAGATTCAGAAAATTAGAAAAATAACTGTGGTATATGCAACAACCATTTCTTTATAATAGAACATAATTGTAAATAAAAGTACCCTCCTCACAACAAGAATACAACTTTCAGTAGGACTGTACGTGAGGGTTTGATCATATCTTTATGGATGTAATTTTTAAATGTAGTTCTGAGAAACTGGAGTTCTTAAAAAAAAACTATTATTTTTTCAATAAACGGTACCACTTTTAATATATAAAACATTACAATTTATATGAGTAAAATTTATGAATATTTTGAGCTCTGTACATTAAATCATTTTGATGCAATGAGTTGTGTATGACTAAAGAGCACAATCTGGACACCTTTCCCGCACATTACTTCCCAGGAAAAAAAAATTACAAAATGTTCATTTTTCTAAAAATTTTTTCAATGAGGTATGAGTACTACGATTAGTTATTATTAGCACAAAAAGCCTCCCGTAGGGCGGTGTTTCTGCTCGTAAGTATAATTTGAACCTCGCCATCTGACAATTGGTTTGATAGTACTTATCAAGCCGTCTATATAATCACACACTTTATAATATTTTCGGAAGTTTATAGTTCACAATTTGTTTTGATATATATATATATATATATCGATGGGTGTGCTGTTCACTCTTTAATGTGTACTAGTTTAAACCACTGGTCACATTTAACGGTAAATGTTATAAAAAGTTCTTCCTAACGTGAATCCGTATTATCATGGCAATTGAACATAAAATAATACAGAAAGAGATGATATATCTAGAGACCTAAAATTGTTTGTAGTAAACACACAAGAAACACATAAAATATTATTCTATAATAAATTGAATATTTTTATTGAAGTTAATGAAACAGACATACATATCAGACATACAGTAAAACTTGTGAATACAAACAAATGATCCAATGGAGAAACTGGTGATACACGGGATTAACTGCGTATGAAAGCATTTAATGTGATACAAAGTTGACAGTTACTGACTATTAGTACACTTTACAAATGCTTTAACCTAAGAATCTTACAATTTCGTTTCTTAAAAGGACAGCTTAGAAAATTATAAAAATCTGGTGTTTTTAGGGGAACCTGACCTTCATAAAGAGAATGGTTTTGGTGACATCATATTTAAGACATTTTTCTGTTCCAAATTTGGCTAGACTTTGACACTTCTCATGAGCATAAACCACCAGTTCCACTAGGATACTGAGTATGCAACGGGGAAATTACGTTCCCTGTATCTGTTGATCATGCACATTTTATGATGTTACAATTGAATTATATTGTCTCTTGATGAACAGCTTTCGTCGATGTGGTAACTTGCTGTGAAAGATGTCGGGAGATGTTATAAATATTAGGAAGAAACAAACAATGGTCACCAAACTAGGAAACCTTATTACAACTGATAATTAGTATATTTAGTAAGCACATAAACCTGGAAATGATATCACTCAGTTTATTAGCTTTTGTGCACATAAATGGAGATCGTATTATGTGTATGTAAAGACTATTTATAAGGCAGCCTTCAAAGTAGCACATTAAACTTGCCACTGCTGTTATTCTGATTAATGTTTGTTTGTTTGGAAGTTCGTGCAAAGCTACACGAGGGCTATCTGCGCTAGCTGTCCCTAAGTTAGCAGTGAAAGATTAGAGGGAAGGCAGCTAGTCATCACCGCCATCTCTTGGGCTACTCTTTTACCAACGAATAGTGGGATTGACTGTTACATTATAACGCCCCCACGGCTGGAAGGGCGAGCATGTTTGGTGGGACGGGGATTCGAACCCGCGACCTGCAGATTGCGAGTCGAGAGGCCATGCCAGGCAGTCTGATTACACTTTTCAGACTGAGTGGGCCGTCTTAGCGACCTAGGGACTTTTAAACTTATTCTTAGATAAATAACATTGGAAAATTCTAGAAATGTGAAGAGTAAAAAAAAATGAACTACAACAATAAAAAAATATTACGGGTAAGGACAATTTTATTCTATAAAATATCTCGAAAAATTGCATTTTAAGTTATCGTACAACACGCAGGAAAGATAAAACACAATTGGTTTCAACAGACTTACAATGGTTCAATCTACATGATTGTCTACTTTCCTAGAGACCTTTCACTAAACGTTGTTTTTTACGTTTCTTTACAGTGAGTCAACGACATATACATATGACTGTGTATAAGTATTTTCATTTATATGATGTATAATATGTATCTACATTTTGTCCCATTACTTTGAATTATGTCTTTTATTTTCTAATCTATTTCTAAAGTTTTTAATTGTTTTAGAGTAATTATTGTTCGTCTGTTAAATAATCAACTATGATTGCATTGAAAACATAACAACTTTCCATTATAAAAGTACAATCACGGAAACACTGTAAAAAAAGTTTGGTTGTGTATTTTCTTTATTGCGTCAGATAAGAATACTTCTACTACAAATAGCTTAACTGAATCTAATAATATTCATGGTATTTATTGCTTTTCCATTGGATGACCGTAAGCCTTTTACTGCGATTTGACAGTGACGTATTATTCGAGTTTCAAATACAAAAACATAAGATAATGCAGTCTTCCGTGGTTTTTTTTTTTATTATCTATAACTGTATATATATGTGTGTTTTTACAACCCACAGTGTTAGTGAACCTGCTTTGCAGGGGTTGAGCTCCCACGCGCTTAATCCAGTAAAAGGACACACTGTGCCCCTGGGCGTTTATAACCCTCCTACCTGAAGCACGTCCCTGAGATTCCAAGCTGCTATACCTTAGATGGAAACCTTGTTGAACGGCCTTTCTAGCAAGAGAACGAAGTTGTTAGTGCTTCGAGGAATCATTTAACAGTTACTTATAACCGTTATATAAAGCATACACTTTATCAAGATGGGTAAGTACCTAAGTACATTTAACGTATTGTCAGTATATGAATGTGTGTTCGTGTAGCTAGTTATGTACAGTTGTACAACTTTTATTTATGTCATACTTTGGTTACGCCCTATAGATGTTTAATACACTTGTAGTGTACGAAATTATAACACGCTTAAAAAATCTAAGCCTAACAGAGACAAAACGCCATTTCACTTTTAAAAAATCAGTGATCCCGAAGTTACCGAACTAACAGCATGGATTGCTTTCAGTATATTTTCCCAACGTATTTGGTTTGTAGGTACAAAAACTTCTTGGTAACGTTGCTTCAAGGGAGTTTCATACATATATTCTTGCCTTTAAAGAAATGGAACTCACGTGCATTTTGAAAATCGTGGAAACACTAACGAGTACGAAACGTTAAGAAACGGGACAGAGTGAAAATAAAACACACCCGTAAATAAGCCGTAAATTTGTAGAGTTTTTAGCTTGGTATTTACTCCGTAAGCTTGAATAAAATATTTACTCAATATACACATTTTAAAATAAAATTGTTTCGAGTAGTTAACGTTAAATAATTAATTATTTAGCAGATAATTATCATGTTCAAAATGGTTGTACGCATTGAATAATTTGCCATTACTGCATAGGAATCTTGCAGTTTTCGAAAATGCGTAGGTGTTAAAACATCCATCTGCTAATAAAATGTTAATTTCTTGAAAAAGTGTTTATCAAAAAACAAAAAATCACCTCTCGATTTGATATGTTTATATTAATTTACATAATGAGCTACATAATATGTACACACACATATATAAATTAAATCATATTATTAACATAAATTCATCATTATGATTGAGAGAGATAATAGTATTAAAATAAACACTAAATACGTTGTATTGATAATGTTTTAGTTTAGCAAGACACAGACACTGAGTATACAAAATAGGCTTTCGTTAAACTTGAAAGAATAGCAATCTGCATCTATAAATTGCAACATTACACGTTTAAACGAATTTATGTTAACTTCTGAAACTATATGAAACTACAACGTGTTTTTTAAGCTAAAGGTTCGATTAGTTAATATCCTAATACTTAGTTGTTAAATATAAAAAAAAATAGATTGAAGACCAAATATGTAAATACAAAGCCCCCAAATGGCACAGCGGCATGTCTGCGGTCTTACAACGCTAGAATCCGGATTTCGATACCCGTGTTGGGCAGAACACAGATAGCTCATTGTGTAGCTTTGTGCTTAATTATAAACAAACAAACCTTGTAAAAGCAAAGACAAAACTAAGGATAAAAAGTGACTGGCGAATGGACAAATGAATAAACTGACAAGTAGATGCACGACAGACATACATCTTTTTTATTAAGATAACCTCTTGTTAGCTAAACACAGATGTAATGATACGCTCGATTTTTGAAAACCTCTATAGACAGATGGATCAGAAAAAGTTTTCCAAGGCGGATACCTCATAATTTTTTAAATGTTTATAAATATATTGGTAGCACTACTGCTCGTGTGCCATAATCACGATAATGTATCACGGCTTATTGATATTGTGACTTTTACAGTTACATTTACACAAACTTTTCGTGTAGTCTATTTGTCATTTGTTTTTCATGTTTATTGCATACATAAATTAAGAAAAATATATTACATTTTAATTGTAGATTTAACTATTTATTTGACCTATGCTAGAGGTAAGAAATCAATCCTGGGCGATATATTAATATTTCTCTTTCAACAGGTCGATGGGCTACAATAACCAGCGCCCTCTTGCTTGTAAGTATATATATATGTATGTGTGTGCGTGTGTGAGTGTATATGTATGACAGCAATATTCTATTTTTTATATTTAGTTTCTTTGTATAGTTATATTAAGACTACTATATAATCGATAAATTAGAGATGACGAGTATAACAAACCGTTTCATTCTATATCCAGGAATGGTAATTATAATGATGAGTAACCACTTACATTAATCGATTTTTTACTATGTATTTATAATAACAAGTTTTATTAAGATCACAAATATATTGTTCACACTTATAGTTCAAATTTTTTAGCAATACACACATCACAATTGAAAAAAATATGTCTGTTAACAAGTTTCATCATAAACAGCTTCTGGAATATATATATCATCCTGTTGTCCTTGTCTGTAATTATGTGTTCATACATTAATAGGCATTTGAGTTATTACAGAAAGTAATGCTAAAATAAATGAAACAGTCGCCATCATCCGATTCTAGTGATTAATTTATCTGTCAAAAGTTCAATCGTTACGAAATTCGTGATTTTAAAGCTGCTATACTCAGCTTCATGGTGCAATTCAAAGTGAAAACGTTTTAATAAGTCACTAATTTGGAGAAAATTAAGAAAATTTGAATAGTATGGCAGGTCGCTTCCCGTATTTGTTGCAGGTTCTTCCTTCTTCCAGTACAACCTTTAGGGCTATTCATTTGTAGGTTGTTTGCACCAACTTCTAGCCATATGCAAATACAAAAATGTTTACAATTTTTGATATATATATATATATATATAAGTTTATACCTTGTCAGTGGGGAGGAAGAGGCGAGTTGGTAATTTGGTAGAGCACTGGATTTAGGAGCTGGTAAGCCGGGTTTGAATCCGTGAGATAATACAAAATATTCCTCCCACTTTAAGCTGTGGGTACGTTATAAGAGTGACAGTTAATTCTTTGGCGTGGATGGTGAGTAGTAGAGCGTTGCTGACTGTTTGCTTTCCCTCTGATCAGGAGCTCAAAATTAGGGACGACGGCAAATAGCCTTAGTGGCTTTGCCATAAATACAAACAAATACAAAGTCTTGTCAGTATCTGTATAATTCTAAATTGTTATTATATTAAAAACGCACTACCTATTAATTCATTATATCTCCATAATAAGATCATCTAACTCAAATTTAACAGCTCAAACTCATGGTGTTGGACTACTCAGGAAACTCTTGTTGTTATACCCTCTTCCTCCTCCTTAACACTAATAACACACTAATGTTTAATAACAAAAGCAGTCTATTTAATGGATGGAATATTGTAATTTTAATTCGTCATTTAAGACAAATCTTCCCAAGTTTTAAGTCCGAGCGTGGCTTAGTAGTTAAGCTGCCCTGACTGCGAATCAAATGATTCATGGTTCGCGTTTGGTTGTCGTAAAAATTCGCTCCGCACTTTTAGGTTTTGGGTATTGTATGAGAATGGCTGTCAGATCTCACTATTCGATCAGATAAGAGTTGGCGGTGGGTGCTGTTGACAAGGGGGCTTCGTTCTGGTCTAGCAGTTCAAAATTAGGAGCGGCTATGCGCAGTTATCTCTTGTGTAGTTTTGCGTGAAATCCAGAAACAAAGATAATCTTGTGTTTTCTTACTAAAACCTGTCATCGTGTTTACTCTGTGTTATTCCGTCCTCTGCTGATACTTCTCTCTTAGTAAATACATTTTACCATTCCCACGTTTCAGTTTTAACCCTAGTTTTATTTGTGCCATTTTAAAGGCAGAATTTATGTGCATTTATGTTTATAATATATGCAGAATAGGTTTATACTTTAATATATAATTCTCCGGATGTTTTTATAATTAAATTTCATGTATTAATACTAAACGTCTGAGAAAATACATCATTATAAAACAGAGGTATATTAGAAACTGTTCTTTCTACGTAGGCCTTTCTGTTACGTATATAGCTTTTGGCAGATGAATATTTAAACATGTTTGTTTATGAATCCAATTCATAGTTTTTACATATGTTATTATATTACGAAAATAGAAATTGTGTTAGTTTTCTGTTGGATTATACTGCATAATTATTTCACAATTATTCAATTATTATTATTAGTATTTATAAATAAAATCATCTGTAAGCAACAGGTGTTCCTAGGAAAAACAAAACTGATATAAAACCTGTTTTTGATGTTTTCGAGCACAGTTCTGCAGATGTTATCCAGAATATAGAAACGTAAAACATTAAAAATAAAATCAGAAGCACGCATATAAATGCATTGAGTATTTCCAGTTAACTGGATAAATAAGACGGATATTCGTATTTTTATTCTCTATTTTTTTTTTTTTTGAGAAAATAGTAAGGGAATGTGGAGTGGAACAATTACGAAAGTCTTGATATTATGGAGACATAAGATGTTCCCCTGTACAACAAAACCCGTACCTCTCATTGTGGAGACATAAGATGTTTCCCTGAACAACAAAACCCGTTCCTCTCATTGTGGAGACATAAGATGTTCCCCAGAACAACAAAACCCGTTCCTCTCATTGTGGAGACATAAGATGTTCCCCTGAACAAGAAAATCCGTTTCTCTCGTTTACTTTAGATTGTACAAAAGATTACTTAGCGAGCAACTTTTTTCCGCCAGATGACGAAATACCTGGTTAAACGGGTTTTATAGATCTCGTTTGTAGTTTCTGTTCGTCGAAGACGTTTAACCCTTTTCTCTAATGGAAAATCTGAAACTTGCACTTTCGAATCAACTTATGTGACATAAAACCACAATGTCACGAGATATATTTTGAAATGTGTGATGTTTTTATTATGGAATTTATGATTCAACTCTTAAAAATATCGTACACAAAGATGTATGAACCAGAATTAGTGATCTATTTTAGTTTTTTTAATAAAGACTTGTTCTACATATTTCGTTCTCCTGCGCTTATTGGACGCTGAACTTATATGGAAAATTAACCTAATAACTTTTCGATATCTCTTTGTCACACCGTTATTATATGCAACTTGAAGTTTTTTCTATTATGATTTATTTTTCATTCAATAGTGTATTTTTCACGCACTCTGTCTTGTAATCAAAGCCTATTTACTGGTGTCGATAAATTTGAAAAGAAAACAATTCGCCTGGTGAAAATAAATTCCATGAACAAAGTGATTAGTTGCATACTTTGAAATAGTACAACAAAGTTATTGAAATTGTCCAGAATTCCAGTGCTTCCAAAAAGTGGCTGCTTCATTACGGGTCAAAGAGGTAGTAAATTTTATTACTGCAGGATGAAGTGACCACTTTTACATGCTAGAGCATATTGATCGTTTTTTGTTTTTGTTTTCACTTACTTGCCTATAGTAGTCTTTTACTGATGTCAAAATGTCATGTGGTCTATGGTTTACTCCGCCATATTGGACGTCTTACATTCGTTTTAGGAAAAATATAATAAATTCTCCTTCAAATATCGTGTTATCTGACGCTATAAATCATCTCACATAAAGAAAGATATATCTAAAAACTGAATATCGGTAAGTTTCGGATCCGTATATTTTACCAAAGGAGACGTTTATGCCATTGACAGTGTGTAAAGCTTCCCGATATTGTATTAACGTAGGCTGCGAGAATGGACTGTTTGACGTCCAATATGATGAAACAGTAAGTTTTTTGATGGGCACGATACCTTTATGCTGTTAAACGTTCTTTGTTCAAGGATACTTCACTTTTTATACTGGAACATTTGTTTTTAAGCGCAAGGTTACAAAATGCGCTATTTGTGCTGTGGCCACTGCTAAAACAACGGGGAGATTTATACACGAACAAAAGAGATCAAGCTTTTCATTATTGAAAACCACAGATCGTGTACGCTGCCTAAGACAATTCAAGAGTAATCGAAATTTATGATGTTACGCTGTAACAAGGCAAAACCACTCTAATGAAATAATGTAAATCGTTCCCTCAATTCAATGTAATAAAATCAGCCATATGATGATGTGATCTAAAATGCAAATGAGTAATCATTCAGTCTGTGCTAGGTATATTGTACACACAATCTTGTCACAGGTGTCACTTTGGAGTGAATTACATAGTTTATAGTACTCCATATAGCTCAGGAACAATGACTAGACCTCAGAGAAGACACTTCGATGTTTCAACTGAAGAGGCATTGAACAAATGAAAAATCGACCAATGACACCAAAATATTACGAATTGTCTATAAATATTGTTTGCCAGATGTGAAACGGCTTCTGTACATATGGTACAGTTGTTCAAATACTTGGACAAGTCCAAGTATCACTCATATTCAGCTCTTATTTTTCGTGGTGGTAATACTTTTTGTAAAGATAGAAAACCTCTATCTATCAGTTGTTTATTTACAAGTGTAAGCTAAATGACCAATAATTTACATTTTGGATCACGTAATTGACAATTAGATGCACGATTTTCATAAAATGAACTGAGAGGGTGGGTTGATATTATTATATAGTAATAGTGTTACCTTACCATAGCTAGACTATCATAAATTTAAATTATCCTTTGATAGTTTTGTACAGTGTAATAAACCATGCTTGAAAACTAGCAGTACAGATCCAAGGAGACTATTGTTAATTTATGTACTGTCGAAAATAGTTATTCAGTCGCTTACTTCAATAAATCTGCCTCAGCCTCTCATTGCATCATGGTTTAACTTAGACATAAAACCTAGCGTTAAATAATTTGGCCATATTGAATAATTCAACGGTAGAATCCAAAATGTGCATTAGATCGCCAACTTGTTAAGACCCCACTTAGCATTGGTTGGATCAACTTTCGTCTACACAATAATAGTTTGGACTCGAGCTGGTATAACATTCACAAGATACTGGAATACATCTTATTCGATTGTATTACATTTATCGAGGTTTATGGTATGCAATTGGTTCACATATGCCGAAAGATGAATACTAAATGACAGAGTGTGGCCTAGTGGTTAGCGTGCCGGATTGTGAGTCTGTCGTTCGCATCTTGTTAGTGCAAAAAATATGCGCTTTGCACTTTTGGGCTGTGAGTACGTTAAAAGGGCGATGGTCAAATCCCACTATTCGGTCATACAGGAGTAGCCCAAGAGTTGGTGGTGGCCATGGGTGCTCGCAAGAAGGAGCAAGAGGAAGCATTTGCCGCATTACATTTCACAAAAAATTGCTCATTGGATATGCACAGATAACCCCTATGCAACTTTAAGCCAATATCCGAAACAAACAAATCCCATCTAATTTGCATATTTTGTATTTCGCCGACTTGCCTTAACAGCTCTCCGCAATCAAAACCTTGACGTTGATATATTATTAGGAAATTAAAGAAATTCGACGGTGAAAAATTCTGTAGTTCTTTGCTGGTGATTTGTTCTATTTTCCCGCTTGTTTTGAATGTCTTAACACCCTGTCCAGGCAGTTTTGTCTTGGTCCGGACGCCTTTTAATTTATTTAAAAAGAAATGATAAAATGGTATGTTTTTAAATGGTATAATCGTGTTGTGTAACTGTTAATACATTTCGTCTTGGTTCGGAAGCCCTTTAGTTTATTGAGAACAAATATAAAAAGCGATATAATAATAGATTGTTTAATATATAGACTTCAATGGTGTGGTGTGGCCAGGGCAATTTAGACCCTTTCAGGCCTCCATGCAATATTGCGATGCTGGAAACCCATTCCTAGAATGATTCAAAATTGAGGCCCCATTCTCTGGGGCTCGAGGCCCCCATGCAATTGTATGGGTTGCATCCCCTCTAACTCCTGCAGTGGGTGTAGGTATGAAGACTTTTCTTCTTGGTTTAGTGCTCTGTCGACTAAACAATTCTTTAAAGACTGATTTTATACCAGTCATAAATCGATACCTGCAACTCAAGTTCAAGCTTAGGTTCACATGAAACTTGGCCCCCAGTGACACAGCGGTATGTCTGCGGACTTACAACGTTAGAAACCGGGTTTCGATACCGGTGGTGGGCAGAGCACAAATATCCCATTGTGTAGCTTTGTGCTTAACAAGAATAACAAACAAAATAAAACTTCTATGGGAATCAAGCTACGACAAGAACATTTCCAACGCCAATTCACCATCTTCAGCAGGTTTTATTGTCAGAAGACAAGTAAAACCAAACGTTTCACGTGGTTTCTTTAGTTTTACTGGTTATATCTTTAAACAGAAAATAATAATTATTATAATGGCGTCCCTGCTAAATGAAACCAATTATCACATTCCTTTAAAAGTCTGAGGTCTCCTTTCCTTCCCCCTTGTCTAGCACACAGACCATGATATTATTAACTCTCTGTAAAGGACTCACATCGCATATGTAAATCAAGTGTTCTACAAATATGTGTGTATGGGGGGGGGGGTCTAATAAAGTAGCCAGCCAGTGTATGATGTCTTAAAACATTCAATTGTAATTTTTTTTTCGTTATTGTAATTTTCACAAAGATTTTATTTATGATAACTGTAAACTAGCTTCATTTACCTCTAAATATTTATTTATATTTTTTTTTTAGTTGGTCACCATCGTATGTGCCGATATGATGCGCAAGAGCATAGTTTTTGATAGCAAAACCCCTAAAGTGTTCTACTGCCCCCAGGAGAAGCCAACTGGAATGGAAAAGATGTTTGTTAAGGCTCGGCCATTGGATAAACTGTGCGAGTTTGGAGGAAAAGGCATTCCTAAAGATTATCACTCAGATTGTTATAATGATGTAGATGAAACCGAGTACGCATGTGCAGAAAAAAGTCGCATTATGGTAAGACTAAACATATTGCAATTTTTAGTGAATAAGTGGAAATTTATAATACATCCTGATAAAAAAATCTAGATACTGATTTTTGGAAGAATAAAAAGTAAGCAATCTATTGCCCTGATGGTGATGAGATGAGTTCGATCTCCTGCAAGCCAATTTTATGATATCACAAATTCTTAAAATTAAAAAAATATATATATCCAGATGTATTTACGTTTTGTTGCATAAACTGTCTTGTTGATAAAATAAAAAGACGTGTCTTTTTGGTAAAATACATTTTAAACAGTTGTTTGATGAAAGCTGATAATTGAACTAGAAAAAAAATGTTATAATAAAAACAGGAAGATATTATGTAATGATAATGTTGTTTACATTATTCGTTTCTTTAATGTGATAAAGCTTGGTTAATCATTTAAACTATTAGATTTCGAACTACAATAAAGTATTTTTAAATTTGATTTTTGACATGATTTTTGTTCAATATTGAGTAATTGATTTAATATATTTTTAGTTGCGCTTGAATCCACCAAATGTGACAGAAACCAGCACCACCAAAGCAAGTGTAACTGCTCGCCCTGGTGGTAAAAGTAAGAAATACTGATTTACTAAGACTTGTTCGCTTGCTTGGGAAGTCAGCATCTGTTCAAGGCAGCTATTGTTCTAATCATAGACTATATGTTTAAAAAAAATCCAAGATTATATAATGCAGCTACTGATGTTATTGTTAACCTGGTTTATTTGTTCAATGAGTATATTGTTCAAAGGAAATATTAAGGTGTAAATTTAGTGTATCGTAGAATGGAAATGTAATTGAAAACTTTAGAGCTATTTTTTTTTTCGTGTAATTAACGATTTGTATGGTACTAAACTGTGGGGAATTGTTAATAAAAACACTACTTTTATTATTTAGTCTTGGGAATTATTCTCAATATCATTTTATTTACACATCTGATTTCACTAGTGATGCATGATTTTAAAATTTGTTTAGCGAGTGTTTCTGTTTTCATTATTTCAATGCAACTTCTGTATAGTTAATTAACTTAATATTCACTAAGCACATTTATGACAAATTTAAATCGTAAATTGTTTAGTTATTCAGGCATCTGAGAGATAATCAAACCTGTTGAGAACTAATATTTAAACACAATTAGTGTCGATATAATTTAAACTTTTCACTGTAATATTTTTGAGCATTAAGGTATGTTCCCTTACACACTTACTTCAATATACACATGATGTTCATTAACCATCAGCATTTATAATATTAACATTTCCTTTCTAATGACATATCATTTGATCATATTGAGGTTCTGTTTAGTTATTCTGTTTAAAAATATTTTTCGCACGTGTATGAATGTACACAACATCGCTAGGTAGCAAAATATCATCATTATATCTTCGTATGACGTTCATCCTAGCGTTTTAATATTTTATGAGGGTTGTCGATTGCTGATAAATATCAAAAAGGCAGCTATTTTTAGTATTAACGGTTATTTAATCAAACATTACTACCACATCCCTTATTGCTGTGTAATATTTTATCACAAAATACGATTCATGATAAATAATTATTTGTTTTTAGCACTAAAGTGACATGAAAATTGTCGAAGTTTTTCACAACGAATACTTTCTGAAGTGTAAGGTGGCTTTAAATATTTATCCAGGCTGCACCTAACACTTTTCTCTAAGTAATAAACATTTACATCAAATGTTAATCGGGTTACATGAATGTTAACTATTTCGTTATTCGATTCACTTTGGATGTATTTGTTTTATTATAGCAAAGCCACATCAGACTATATGATGTGTCTACCGAGGGGAATCGAACCCTTGATTTTAGCGTTGTAACTCTGAAGACTTACTGTTGTCCCACCGGGGGGACCAGTTTGGAGGTAATTACCACTAAGTTTCAGAAACTCGCGTGTGTCCGTTACTGTTGTCCCACCGGGGGGACCAGTTTGGAGGTAATTACCACTAAGTTTCAGAAACTCGCGTGTGTCCGTTTAATCATCTTTAATTATATTTAAGTTTATATCACAATAAGTGAAGTCATGGCTTTTAAACATTTTCTTGGAAAATGAGGTTTAATAATGGATTCACACCTGTGTATAGAATACATACTTTTTTATATAATAAAGGTATTAAAGGACCGCCATTGTTGATAAGACATCCAACTCATTTGATTGGTAGAAGAGAAAGAAGCAGTGTAAAGTAGGTAGTAATGAGGTTTTGTGCATTAGTTCTTTATAATGATATTCCTTATTAAAGATATTACCAAAAAGGACTCAATGCATTAATTTATTTTAATTAATTACATCTATAAATATATAAGCAAAATTTCTTTCAAATAAAATGGCCAGTTTGGTTAAGATTAGTCTCATGACAGCAGCATGAGATTTACTTCATTATAACCACTTCCTTGTAGTTCGGTAGCAGCCTGATTAAATTCATGTGTCAGGTTTGTTGATGCGATATACTTAAAGATATACTAATTGTTACAGGCCATTAAACTTTTAAAATCATCTTAAAAACACAACGTTTTCAGAAGATGTAAAAAACACTCATTTTGCCACATATTTTGATTCAAGGTTATTATTAATAAGAACTTCTGAGTGAAAGTACGGAAGAGTGTAAAATAATAGTGTCAACTATACTGTATTTGCTATATCCAGTGCCGACGAAGCCTTTCGCTCAATACCATAACTTCAGACCGGCTGGGACACGACATATATGGAAGTGGTTATGGTACTTCTTAGATTAGCAAAGCGCTTGACAACAAATGTTACGGCCTGGCATGGTCAGGTGGTTAGGGCGCTAGACTCGTAATCTGTGGGTCACTGGTTCGAATCTCCGTCCCACCAAGCAGGCTCGCCGTTTCAGCCGTGGGGGCGCTATAAAGTGACAGTCAATCCCAGTATTTGTTGGTAAAAAAGTAGCCCAAGAATTGTTGGTGGGTGGTGATGACTAGCTGCCTTTCCTCTAGTCTTTCACTGTTAAATTGGAAACGGCTAGCGCAGATAGTCCTAGTGTAGCTTTGCGCAAAATTCAAAACGAAATAAATGTTATGGATCAAGTCGGTGAAGTGTATAGACAGTGTAGCTGAGCTGTCTATAGTTTGGTGTACAAAGCTATGACCAAGAAACAACAATAAGACTACTGAAATATGCTAACTCTTTGAAACTATTGCTAATGCCAGCAAGCTTAGAAATAGCGTGTAATTTCATTGTTTATACCATATCCACTGTCGCTGCAAGAAAACGTGTGGGAAGCATGGTCAGCACACGCACCTTGCACGAGACCAACAGGGTTTTCTGAAAAGAAGCAATTTAATATGTAGAAGTACCAATCAATAAACCATTAAGGTAGACTTTCGTTCTGTGACGAAAGTCTATCTTAATGGTTTATTGACTGGTACTTCTACATATTAAATTGTTGAATCTGTGACGAAAGTCTATCTTAATGGTTTATTGACTGGTACTTCTACATATTAAATTGTTGAATCTGTAACGAAAGTCTATCTTGATGGTTTATTGATTGGTACTTCTACATATTAAATTGTTGAATCTGTAATCAACAATTTAATGTGTAGAAGTACCAATCAATAAACCATCAAGATCGACTTTCGTCACAGATTCAACAATTTAATGTGTAGAAGTACCAATCAATAAACCAACAAGATAGACTTTCGTCACAGATTGAACAATTTAATATGTAGAAGTACCAATCAATAAACCATTAAGATAGACTTTCGTCACATATTCAAATGAAGAGAATAAGTAAAAACTGTATATACAATGCGTGCCTTTAATATGGAAATTAGAAACTGGTCGATAAGTTTCTCGGCGTTATGACACGTCAGAATTAAAGCTTCAATACCCACAGATACAGGAGACGTCTCTTTTAGAGGGTTGAAAAACAGACATTAGATAATTTAAAATTCATATGCTGTCTTGAACCACATGATTTGTTTGTTGTTTTTTCTATAAGATGAAATATCTTTATTTACAAAACTATAGAAGTGTTACCCGACGAAATTAATTCATTCAGAACAGTACATTTAACTAAAACTCTTTTTTTTTTGTATCTGTTGCACAGTAATTCTCTACTCTTAGCGGACTGCTAGTGTATATATTATAGAAAATTACTTTATCTCGCTTACTATAGGTTTGTTTATGATGTGAACTGGCATATTCTCTTTTTAGAAACTCCCAGCTTTAAAAAAACTGAATTAAATACTTAACTACTTGTAACAAAATGAAATTTTAAAATTAAAAGTGGAGGCTTCTATTACATTGTACCAATGAAATATTATTTTTTATCTAAAATTAACGCGCGTGTAACACTTCTATCCGGTGATGGAGAACATATCTGCGGGGTGCCGAAGGTCTGAAAATGTTGCAGAGACCTCATTTAATGACCGTGTTCAGCTGTATCTGGATAGTAGTTCGATTTTTGACTATTTTTTTACGTTCTTACTCAGTCTAAACGCCTTTGGTTTGTTTTCTTGAGAAGCCTCTCTGAAACCTGGCTGTTGGACAGACTCACTTTAGCTTGGTAGTATGATGTCACCCAAAGTTCAAATGTCATATTGCAGATCACATCGGCAGTTCTAAAAATGGACAAGGTAGTATTAGGCCCATATAATACTTAGGGTTACCACATTTCCAAAGAGAAAAACTGGGATATTTTTTTTCCATACGGAGTGACACTGTAACAGCCCTGAAACAGTATAAATTACAATAACATACTTTGTAACATTTGCTAAATAATCTCATGTTTATTGTATCGCGTTTTAAAACTATAGACAAACAAAATGTGTTCAAAGTTTATCTAGTTTAAAAAACAAATAACTAAAAAAAAACGCGCCTAAGTTGTCTTAAACCTACTGGAAAGAGAAATGCTGCTTCTTTGTTTTCTTTTTTTGCGGCTGACCAGGTCTTCAAATCTCAATTCCTATGGTCGCCCAATGATAGATTATGTTATCAAAACGTAACAGAGGGAGGGAACAATGTACTATGTGATCTGTCTTTGTCAGGTGACTCTCCAAGTAAAATTTAAAGGAGCCATGTATAATTACAAACCGTACATATGTAACTCACATTAAGATACAGAGAAACTGGGACAATTTAATACTTTTACTGTTTTTGTCAGGTGACTCTCCAAGTAAAATTTAAAGGGGTATTAAATTGTCCCAGTTTCTCTGTATCTTAATGTGAGTTACATATGTACGGTTTGTAATTATACATGGCTTTTACTGTTTTTGACTGGGACACAAAGTAATATGTTAAAAACTGGGACGTCTGGAAACCTACTACTGCTAAGAGTAAAATCACGTGTATCCTATCTAATCAAAAACACCTTAGGTGTGTAAAAAAGTGCGCCCCCCCCCCGAAAAAAAATGTGCGTGTGACTGAAAGGAATGAAATCAAAATTGGCGGCCAAAGTGGTTGCTACACTAATAGCATTAATAAGAATTTTACAGCGAATATTCATTCATTAGTTAGTTAGGCCGAGTATTTGGTTTTTACCTACTATCATGACCCAAGTTCTTAATAACTTCCTTTATAGTAATACTATAGATTAACAGTTTCTTGTCATCACCCGCATGCAATCAGTACAGCCGTATCAAGCACAATTATTTACGTTGATTGCTTCAGCTAATATCACGTGACGCTAAACGCTCTTGAATTAGAATGGGCAAATTTGTGCTTAAAAGTTGGCAATGAATAATAACCGTCCACAGGTTTTTGAAAACTTGAGTTAGAAACTGCTAATCTAGTTTGCTTGGCCTAACCAATACTTGTGTATCTACACGTGCTTTCACCCTGTAGTTTTGCTGTTCTAAATCAGCCGTCTTTAATCCAAATAACAAAAACTAAAAACGGTCCACTTTTACTCTTTTATG